AATGTTTTCTTGTCTTTATTATGAATTTAAGTACAGTAGAAATGACACTCTGTTTTGCCCTCATGAGAGCTATGTGTGTGTGTGTTCAAAAAGAGCCCATGTTCTATGAATTTGATGAAAACTTCCCCCTCACTGTAGTGATAAAATTTGGAAGCAAATATAAGCGCTACATGGTTTCTCTTGGATGACTTTGTTCCCCTCCCCTGCCCTCCTACTCTGAGTGCACTGATCTTCTGAGATGTACCGCTTTGGAAATCTGGGATTACATAGATGTGAGGAAGAGGAGGGACCTCTGTGGCTAAACAAGGGGTCTCTCCCCAGTGGCTGTGGAGGAAGCACCCTGAAGAGAAGGAAACTCTCCTCTGTGAAGGGGACAGGCCACCAGAAGACAAGCCACTCCTTAACAGGAGCTAAACTCTGTGCTCACTGGGAATATTTCCAGATTTTTTATCTCGCTGAAAATTCTTAAACCTTTCCTTTAGATTCATTTTATAACCTATGTTTTTAAATGATTCTTTTAAAAGGTGGAACATAAATTTTCTGAGTCCCTCTAGATTTTAGTTCTCATCCCCTACTGGCTGAATGGAGCCCCTCGTGGCCAAAGGAATATCCTAACACTAAATTGCCTGCCTGGAGAAGCGAGGTCACACATGCCTCATCATGCCCCCTCTTCCCTGCTTGGGGACATCCTCTGTAGCCCATTGATAGGCCTAAGGCAAGACAAATCTGCAGGTCCTCAATTTACACAACAAATCTATGTCCCCTGGCTTATCTCTGATAACAGCTCCTTATGTTGAAACATTCCAAGCCTTTAGACAAAGCTTCATATCTTTAACCAATTACAAGCCAAAGAATCTTTAAACCCACCTACATCCTGTAAGTCCCCCCACTTCGAGATGTCCCACCTTTTCGGGCCAAACCAATGTATGCCTCCCACGTATTGATTTATGACTTTACCTGTAACCCCTGTCTCTCTGAAGTGTATGGAACCAAACTGTTACCCAGCCACAGCCAGGCCACTTGCTCAAGGTTTCTTGGGAGTGGCTCCAGGTCATGGTCTTCAAATTTGGCTCAGAATAAACCTCTTTCAAATATTTCAGAGTTTGGATTTTTCCATCCACAATTTTTCTATTGTCTTTAATCATTACGTAGGAATTGCTGAGAACAAACGTCTTGAATTACAATCTCTTCTCACTGGGCGCTCTCTGAGGCCATTTGGATATGTTTAGACAGAAGTCGTTTTTAGGCTGACTTTGCTGACCAGATGGTGAGCTCATTTGTTGTTCAGAATACATGGTTCTATTTTCAAGCCGGAAATGATTTCTTTAAAAATACATTGTGTTATTGCTTTAGCTTCATTTGTCAAAGATCTTCCTTGGGTCCAGCCCTCATTTTAACTTTGGCTCTATTCTACTTCTTCTGTAACGCCTGCCACAGCAGGGTTTTGGTGAGGACTCTCCCCGGGTTGCTCCTGGGGCTGTGACTGACACCTGCTCCCAGGCACTGTCAACCCATGCTGTTCCTGAGGGCCACCCCTCCCCCGGCATTCTCAGCCACCTGCAAACTTTCTCCACTGCTCTCTACTGTCACTTACTTATGGGGAGCCTCTGGTTCCCTTCTGTTTGCACAGAGTGTAAAAGAAAGAGTTTGTAAATCTTGGAGCTTCCAGACTAAAAGATAACTGTCCAGCAGCCCGCCTCCAAATCCATGTAAATAACGGAAGCCAGGATGCACATTCCATTTGTTGTTAGAAGATATTCTTACTATGTAAAGGTCAGTGGAATTAGATGCACAACCTAAAGCAGGTAGTCGTATTTACTTGGTCTCTCTTCAAGCAAGCAGGGAGATCATTATCCCTTTACTGTCGGTACCTGGGCTCAGACATCCAAGGATGATTTTAATCAGAAAATTGAGCAGCCATCTCTTTCCTGTGTGTCTGCAGCCTTCTCAAGCAGCTGGGGTACTGTTTCTCCTGTCAGCAATGGAGGTGGAGGACATGGTTCCAGGACCTCCCACAAATACCAAAATCTATGGATGCTCAAGTCCCTTACATGTAGTGGCATAGTGTTTACATATAGCCTACACAGATCTTCCCATACACTAAACCATCTCCAGATTATTTATAATAACTAATACAACATAAAGGCTATATAAATTGTTCTTACACTGTATCGGTTTTTATTAACATTTGCAATATTTTTTATTGTTGTAATTTTATTTTATTTTTTTTCAAATACCTTAGATCTGCAGTTGATTGAGTTCCCAGATTCAGAGCCCAGAACATGGAGGGTCGACTATACTACTCTTTGACAATTGTTAAAGACCAAATGCTCCTGGCCTCCCAAGAATAGCTAATGTACGAATTAGTTATATACTAAGCTCAGTTCTGCAGACTTGACATAAAAATCCCTGATCCGTATCTGATCCCATAATATGTGTTAATTAATTAATTCTCTTTTTTAGCTCTCATCTTGATCTTTCACCTCTGCCTAAAGATCAGATTTGGTCACATTATTTCTTCCTGGTCTTCCTTCCTCTTCACCCTAATAGATGGCTGCCTGCAGCCTCTGTTTCTTCCAGTGAGATCTTTAACACTTACTTATTCCTAACCACAAATTCATAGATGTAGGAAGACACTTATCCCCTTTTATTGATCTCACTATTGAACCATTTCCAACAATGAATCAAACAGATAAAATGAATCATTTAGAAAATGTCTGTATAAGTACTTTGTCTGAAACACAACAGGCTGTCAGCACTTGCTTGTTATGCCGGAGCTGTGAATGTTTATTAAATTCATTTATTTATAAAGTCTTGATGCCGCTTAGTAATATAATGTAATTTTACTCTGGAATATGCAAGCTATGTATCAGATGTATCAGCTGGTTTTATGTTTTCAACTGAATAAATAATATTTTATGAGAATGTGTATGAATTTTCTCATAGTCAATGACTCATATTCTTCTCATTAAAATGTCTTTCTTTGTACTGCATTAAATTCTCATTTATAAAGTTTCAGATTTTGTTAGGGCAAATACCTTCCATTCTGATTTTGGGAACAGTGTTTTAAAGTGTGAGTTTAATAATTCATGAATAAATGAATGCTCGGACAGTCAAGAAATGTCATGATCATTTTTTAGGTTATTTAAACTTATTTTTGACAGTTAACAATTAAGTCTTGTCCTTGAAACGTCTTATTTTATTTTCATATTCTTATATGAAATATTTATCAGTGAGTTCACCTGGGGATATTGCTTTAGATTAGAAATAGGAGACAACAACAGTAATAGGCAACAATTGCTTTCTTGTGATAGCAGTTGGTCTTGGTCAGTGACCATGAATTATGTAATGCTTATCTGAAAAGTATAGGCAGTTAAACTTTTAAGCAGTTAAATAGACTTCCCTGCTAAGATATCGATGACTATCCAATAGTGATGCTATTTCCTAGAAAAGAAAAAAATACTACTAATAGGTTGACTGGATCATTTGCAGAAGTATCCACATTGAACCAAAGTTAAAGGCAATAATTTGATGAGACCTCGTTTGTTTAATGTTTATGGACAAATCTTTTTAGGAAACTGCAGTTCTTTTTAGACAGATGAATTAGTAATGGCTTTTTAATTAATGACATCTTATCTGTTTATTGAATAGTATCAGACTGTTCTGCAGTAGATCGGATGTATCTGAAAGGTATATGAACTGAGCCAAAAAATAATAAGGTATCTTCCAAAGGAAAAGTCATACATCCAGTAAAACATGAAAAGTCTGAGTTATGACAGGACAAGTAGAATGGCCAAAATAAAAGTGTAAAATAATAAAATACTCTCAAGTTCCAACTGAATACAATAAACACTCAGAGACAAACCATTATCTACCAGGCACTGGGTTCTTGGGGCTAGCGACAGATAAATAAAAAACTAGTTATCTTTTGAGGTTTTTGCTTTCCAGAAGCTTCTAGTGAATTAGGAGAGAGAAACATGTAAACAAACAAGTACCCTATAAGATTAAAAAAAAAGTGCCTGGCAAATAGTAATTTTCCACAAAGATTAGGCACTTTGTTTTAGTGGGCGTGGGGACTGACTTACACTGAGGACGCCTGGAGGAAATGGTCCCCTTATCCCAGTGAGGATATGGGGTCTCCACCAAGGGGTGGTGATCCAGGACTGAGCCTGGAAAGCAGCAGTCACAGTTTTTAGAAAGACAGATGAGGACACTGCGAAACCTCAACCTTCCGTGTCTTTGCTCACACTGATCTCTCCACCACTATGCACCCACCCGAACATTGCAACAGCTTTCACTGTCAAACTGCGATTTTCTTTGGTGACAGGAATTGCTGTCACTTGTAGCCACAGAAGCAGAATCAGTCCTTGCAAAAGGCTGATTTAGCAGCCATTTTTCAACACCCTTGTCTGAAGTCTTAGGCAGCTGAAATCCAGGGTAACAGAAAGGTGCCATTTGCATTTAATATGCATATTTCAATGACCAAATTAAGATACAGAAATTATAAAGTCATTGAATCACCATGTATACTTAGCTTTTAGAAAGACATCCAGAAAACTGATACTAAGGCCGCTTGATTTGCGTAATACCTTTTCATTCACTGGCATATGAACTGGAAAACCTATTTATCCCTCTCTGTTTCTATTTTTTAATCAATATAATGGGTTTCTGAACAATACCAATTTGATATAGTTACTATGAGGATTAAATGAGATAATCTATATAATGCAAGTATTGAAATCCACATAAAAGCTCAAGTTATATTATATATTATTTTACCTTGCATCAATCTAATAATTTACATGTGCTTAAATGATTTTACATAGTATTTACCACATGCTTTAAAAAGCTGCAATCCCGTATGTTAAAAATCAACAGTTTTTAAAATGTTTGCTTTAGAGCTTTGGGGTCCGCGAGGAGTGGGGGAGGGACACCAAGAGGCACCGTCAGGTCTCACCCTGCCCCTGGAATTCCAGGCGAGAATACCAGCTGCCGCGGGTCAGCGACGTTACACGTTATTACGTCCTTTGCAGTTGTGAGCATGTAAACATTTTTATAATCTATAAGTTGAAAAACAAAGTTGAATTTTCTTAAAAAACTTACTTCAAAATGTAGGCATTTAGATTTATTGAACTATTTATATGTCAAAATATGCTTTTTATTAGATATCATCAAACACTTCAAAAACCCCATGAGAAGTGTTTTGAGAGCCTCATTTTATAGACAGTAAAATTCAGAGCCAAGGAGATTAAGTTCTTATTGTCCCTTTGTTAGCAGATTTACCGCCAAGTTTCATACATATTCACTGATTTTTTATTCAGAGAACTGTTTTTAAATTAAAAATCTTAATTTGAAATAACTGTAGATTTACATGCAGTTGTAAGAAATAATAACAGAGAGATTCTATATACCCTTTACTCACTTTTCCCCAATGGCAACATGTTGCAAAACTATTAATATAAAACAATATCACAACAAGGATACTGCAATTCATTTGGGCAAAATACAGACTCTTTCCATCACAGGTGCCTCATGCTTCCATTTACAGCCACGCCCACCTGCCCACACCGTCAATCCTCCCTGTGCCCTCCTTTGGCAACAACTAAACCATTTTCCTCTTCTGTATTTTAGTCATTTTGAAAGCGTCATAAAATATGAACTCAGAGTTTATAACTTTGGGGGATTGGCTTTTTCTCTTAGTATAATGAGCTGGAAATTTATCCATGTTGTCTCATGTATTTATAGTTTGTTCTTTTTCATTGCTGGGTAGTGCTCCATGTTGTGGATATAGCTTGTTAACCATTTACCCATTGAAGGGACATACAGGTTGTTTCTTGGTTTTGACTGTTACTACTAAAGAGTTAATACAAGGCATATATTTTTAATAATTCATTACCAATGTTGAAAACATCAAAAAGATGCAATTTTGTGGTCTCAATACAATGCAGATAGCTTTTTCTTCTGAAGCCATATCAAGTATGTTGATTAGAATTTTAGATGAGTTCAAAATTGTAACAATATAATAGACTTAAATTTCCCTCCTCATATTTGAATAAATAGCATGTAAACTAGTGGAACAGTAATGACAGCCGAGCTCCCATAAATCCTATGGAGTTAGAATTTTCAAAAAAATATATATTTTATTCATTCTGATTTCAAATATATATATATATATATATATATATATTCAGTAAAAAAATTTCTTAGAAAATATTTTATAGCCTTAATTTGATATCCATGTTATTATATCTTTTATCTTTTGAGAGCCCACATATGACTTGTTACAGTTGTCAATGCTTTAGGTAAAGGAATTAGGAAGAGGAGAAAGAGCTCATCTCAAATCTCTCTAACACATGGTCATCTTCTGATTAAATCATGTCCACTCAGCATCAGGCTCTTAAAAAGGAAAAGAGGCCAAAGTGGATCAAGAATGGAGATCAGTCACCGGCCCTAGAGCTCTCTCAGGTGATCTCATGGCCAGGGCCAGGCGTTTCCTGCATAATCAATATGGTGCCACTTAGGTCACGGCTTTACTACAACTGAGGGAAGCCAACTGGCCGGTGAGGTTTCATGGCAACCTGAGGAAGCAGGATGGCCATGCAGGAGTCCCACTTCATAACCCCAGCTCAGAGTTTTCTGCTCAGAAGCAAGAACATTTTCCTTCTCAGAAAATCTCTTCAAAGTTGTTCCTTCCAAAGGCAGTACTCACTCCTTTCCAAGTCAGCCCAAAGGTACTTCCATCAGAAGCACAAAATTCATTCTTAAAATATTTATTTAAATTTCCATTTTATAAAAATAGATTTTGTTATGCTTTAATGTTTATTCAAAATACATATTTTAAAACATTTTAAAATATTTTTGTTTAAACTTAGTACCAATAAAAACCAAAATTTTTCAGTCATCAGCTCTTGCTTTCTTATCATAATTCTATGACTCACAATTTTCTTTCATAACAAAAAAATCTGAAATAGTTTTAAGAAATTGTTGTACAGCACGTGTTACCTGTGGATATCTTACAATTATGTTTTATTTCCTTGTTTTGTTGACTATTTCATTGGCAATGTTGACCTGAAAACTTACAATAAATTTTAAAGTTTTGAAAATACCACTCGATATGTTCATTTAAAAAATATATCCTGAATCATCGTTATGTACCAGACATAATGCTAGGTACGAGAGATGCACCTATTATTGGGACAACCCTGGCCTTAAACCATGTGAACTTTAGGAGATGACTAGACCAGGAATATAGCGCCAGGGTTTAAAGTTACAAGAAAAGCCTGTCGCCCTGGGAGCAAGGTCCTGTTTACTTTCCTCAAAGACACTACTCTAGCACCTCAGACAGTAATCCGCATATTGTACATAGGCAGAAAATATCTGTTGGATTGACTGAATGAATATATAAATTATAGGTATAACAGGACTAAAAGAAGCCTTTAAATTTTTAATAAAGAATTAGCTATATTTGATTGATATGTTCAACATGTTTCTGCAAAAATAAAAGCAATCAATGCACATTTTGAGTTATTCAAACAATTTAGCAATATAAAAATATAAAATAAAATTAATCTTTATTCTCTGGACTCAAAATACAGATAAAATTGTTTATATCTTCTAGTTTTGTTAAGAGTTGGAATTTTTCAAACAACATTAGTATCATACAATATATTAGATTTTATTCTCTTTTTAATTAATATTATATAAATCATGTATCAATATTGTTTAGGGCTCCATGATATCCCTTTCTGTATATCACTATACCAAACTTTATTGACAATTTTCCTACTATAAATGGTGACTGTTCCCATTTTTGTACCATCAGCAATACTGGGATAGATAATAATATGCTTTCTTAAATGTTTGTTTCTAGTTATTTCCTAACTATATTTTGTCCTAATTGCTGTTATTTTGTCTCAATTTTTGGTAGTTTTTTAGTAGTATAGTTGTGGTAAAGAAAAAATAGGATTAAAGATAAGTATAAAAGCTTTTATTAACAGCCCACAAAAAGAAAATTGTGGTGTTTCTAAACAATAAAATTCTACAAATAGATAAAGGAAAGGATAATTTATATTAGAGTCCCGTTAAAACAATTTTTGCTCCATTTCACCGAGACCTCTGATTATTTTCAATAATTATTGTACCCAAACAATGTAGCTTTAGGACTTTGACAAAAATTGATAAATATAATAGCACTCTTTTGGAGCCTATAAATAAGGAAGTAGTATGAGCCACTTTAACAGAGAATCTGGTATGAAATAAGCAAAGTCTGACTTCAGATGACCACTCATGGAAGACAGACATTCTGGGGGACAAATCATGATATTTATGTGATGCAGACTCACAGCATTCCTATAAATAATACTCCTCTTTGCTCATTTAGACTCCATCTAGGGATTTAAAAAACATTAACAGTAGCTGAGCACCTATGCCTGGCCAGGTACTGTGGTAAGCAAATAAAACATGCCCTCACTGTCTAGGCGTGTACAGACTGGTACTGCAGTTACTAAATGCATAAGCGACTGCTCAATGAGGCAAGACAGTCATAATATAAATTGCAGTAAGAGACAAACTGCCATGTAAATAAGAGAGATTAGTTCATACTGGGACACCCAGGTAAAAGTATGTGGGAAGATGGTAACTTAATTCAACAAATATTTATTGAGTGCTTATCATGTTTTCTAGATATAAAACACATAGCAATGGACTAAATTGAAGTCTTGATTTCAGTTTCTATGCCAGTAGAGCAAGGCAAACCAGAAAGAAAACAGGAAAAATAGAGGCCAACAAAGTCCTGACTTGAAAGATAGTGTAACAAAAGTTTAGTTTAGCTTGGGTTTGTTTAAAACTTAAATGTTTAAGGGTAAGAAAGAGAATTTCATATAAAAATAAAATTGTAGAACTAATTTTTTTGTAATTCTAGAATCTAGTCCAAAACTCAGACCAAGTGGAGCACTATTGAACGAGGAAAGGAATGCATGGCTTTAGGTAAGAAAGCGTCGTGGCATTTTTGTTAATCTACGTACCACCCCCCATTCTCCAGCCAAGGCAGGGTCCTTTGCGTGGACTGGGCAACCCATGTTCTGGTGTGGCTGGCTCGGCCAGGGGGCTGATATGCGCCGTGTTCTCAAAAGACCGTAATTCTTAAAATGTATATTAGTAAAATACTGTGTTTGACCTTTCTGTGGTTTCCTGAGGGACAGGCACAGAGGCTGACCTTTGTTTTGCTCCTCGCTTTCCCCTTTGGGAAGGGTCTTTATATATTCTGGATATTATTTTCTTATCAGGTATAATATTTACAAATATTTTCTCCTATTATGCAGGTTTTTTCACTTTATTAATGTCTTTTGATGCACAAAAGTTTAACATTTTCATGAAGTCTAAGATCTATTTTTTTTCTTTTGCTGCTTTTGCATTTGGTGTCATATCTAAAAATTCACTGCTGGATACAAGGTCATGAAAATCTATTCCTATATTTCTTCTAAGACTTTTATGGCCATAAATGGTCATTGATCCATTTTGAATTAATATGAGGTGAAGAACGGGTCCAACCTATTCTTTTACATGTGAGTATCCAGTTGTCCCAGCACCCTTTGTTAAAGAGTTTTCAGCTAACATTTCTTTAAATATTCTTTTAACCCTTCATTTCTCTCCACTCCTTCTCAGTCTCCTATAATGCATATTGTCAATATGGTTAATGGTGTTTCAAAAGTCCCTAAGACTTGGTTCACTTTTCTTCATTCTGTTTTCTTTTTTTCTCTTCTGAAATATCAATTGTCCCATCTTCAAGCTTGCTGACTCCTTCTTCTCTCTATTCAATACTATTGAACTTCTCTAGTTCCTATGTATGACCCAGCCATTCCACTCCTAGGTATATACCCAAAAGAAATGAAAACTTGTAGTCATACAAATACATGCTAATGCATGTTCATAGGAGCACTATTCACAACAGCCAAAAGGTTGAAACAACCCAAATGTTCATCAATGGCTAAGAAATTGTGGTATATATACACATAATAAAAGATTAATCAACCTGAGAAAAAAATGAAGCAATTATTAATGCATATACTGCATTGTCCTAAACCTCAAAAACTTAATGCTAAGTAAAAGAAGACAGCTAGAACATCATGCATTGTCTGATTTCTTTTACATGAAATATTTTTAATAGGTAAATCCATAGAAAGAGAATTCATATTGGTAGTCGCGAGGGGGTAGAAAAAGGGAGAAATGGAGAGTAGCCGATTAACAATTACTGGGCCTCCTTCTGCAGTGATACAAATGTTTTTGAACTAGATAAATTCAAAAGTTGCATAACAATGTACTAAATGCCTCTCACTAAATTTTTCCTTTAAAAATGGTCAATTTAATGTTATGTGAATTTCACCCCAATTAAAAATTTTAATGTAAGTGAACTTAGTAAATTGAATGAATTGGTGAGTAAAAAAAAAGAAAGAATACAAATTAATATATAGAAGTAGAAAAGCACTTCAGTAGTACTCATGACCTGGTGTATAGTCCAGTTTTCCTGAATACAGAATGAATAACAAGTAATAATGGAAAATAAGCCTGAAAAAATAACTCTAATATCATTACAAGAATTATAAATCTTTGTCATAGCACTGTACTGAGGAAACTGGAATGTTACTCATCATACAGGTTTTAAATGTTAAAATATGAAAGATGTCTTATAATGTGGTACAGAAAATGATGATTTAACATTCTTTCTGGAAATACTGGATCACTTTTTAGGCTCTACAACTTCCTATGAGTTCAGAATAAGGTGGCTACATGCATCATTTCAGTACATACTCAAACACTGTGGACATAAGATATAACATAAATACACACATGATTATTTTATTTATTTTTTAGAAAGTCCCGAGAGTGAGAGTTTTCAAAGACAGATACTAAAATAATCACAGATTCATATAAAAATGCATTTTTCCTTTTAATTGAAATAATTAATTCAATTAATAGTGATTACATTTTCTAATGAGTACTTAATTTACTCTTTGGGAAATCACTTATAATTACAACTCATTACCAAATAATTACATGCTGTGTACTGATTTGTGTCGTGCCATTAATTCATACTGGTTGGAGAGATCAACATTTCCAAAGTTAAATTCTAGCCTTCTGTACAAATACAACACTTTCTTTTTAATAATAAAAATTCATATTCTTAAATGTATTCTTTTTCAATTGCCTGGTGTTTGTTGATAAATGACCAATGGGATAAAAATATTATTTTATTTTAAAGAAGATATCAATTTGGGGGAGAGACCACGCTGATTTTGCTTCATTTGGATTATAGACAAATCACCAGCAAAAGTGCCCAGTTGGAGTTGGAGATGAGATCGCTGATGACTACCATTCCAGACACAACCTACCTCAAGTGTATCATTTTCCTCCCAGATGATTCTCACATGAAAATTGTCGCTTTGCATTGAGTGTGATTAGAGTTGTTCCTTACGTTTGCTGAAGAGTCAGTCTACCCAACGGCCACTTGCTCTGAACGTGTGGCAGGTGAGCTCCAGGCCAGCAGGGGCTTGTCTTGGTTGCTGTCTTAGAATAAACAGTGGTGGCAATGCAGATGGAACATCCGGGCTCCCTGCACTGCACCACCTTCGAAGTCAAATGTCTGTGCTCAAATCCCCACATCCCTAATAATACACCCTGTGGACCCCTGGCAAACTTCTTATCATGTGTTAGCTTTAGTTTCCTTATTTACCAAAAAAAGGGACAACTTCAGTATCTGGGTTGCTGGGATTCAATGAAAACTGTGTAAAGTAGTTAACTCAATTCTTTGGAATAATGAAAGCATTCCACAGATAATAGCAGTTATGATTATTTTGAATACTATCCATAATGATAAACACATTTACTTTTTAATGATTTGCATGTTTTTACCTTACTGGGAAGGAAATATCTAAGTGAGAAAGAGGGCCCTAGTTAAAAATATACAGGAAAATAAAGATTCAGATTACAAAGCAAAGAAATGTACCCTGGACATTTTGCAATATCACTTCCGAGGTTAAACACAGCATTTGGCACTGAACCTGCTTTTTCAATGGGAACTCAAATATTAGCCTCTTTTTAGGTTCCTGGACAAAATAGAAATTCAAGAAATATGTATAAGATAAATGAAAAAAATTAACAAATGTTTATAAAATGAATGCATTCAAATAGCTAGTTCATGGGTTAGTGATATCTAAACTTAGAATGTTAGAAATTTCAAAGATTTTTTGTTTGTTCCCCAATTCTCCATATTATCAGATGTCTTAAAAGACTTCTCCCCAGAGTCAGAAGTAAAGCCTGATTATACGCATCAACTGGATCTTGCCGGCCAGATCTGTCACAGTAAAACATCTACGGTTGCCTCTTAAACCGTGTCTCATTATAACAGAATAAAAAGTCTTGAATAACTTTTGTATGATATAACATATAACATATGGTAATATATAATATATCATCTATAATTATTTAACTAAAGTGATTATAAAAGAAAACCATATTTACTACTTTAGGTTTGTTAGCCTTTATTCCACAATTTTAAACTAACATGATATGTCTATTGGTTGAAAATATCAACTGAAGTATACTTCTCAAAATTTCATTTACAGATTTTTTATTCTGGAAAAATGCTCTGGACAGGTTCAAAATAACATGACCAACTCACTGATGTTACCGATGTTATTTAGATTTCTACAAACAGCTTTGATCAATCTCCTGTCACCCAGAGTAAAGAAATAATAACTGTGTAAGGAGTTGCTAGATGCCTGAGGTGGCAGCCAGCCGTGCATTTAATAAAAATGAATAATGGTGCAAGAGATTATGAATCCCACATACTTGCTACCAGGTGGCCAGACAACAGGGCTATGTTTTCTCTCCCCCAGATCCCTGTAATCTGTCAAATGCACATCTTATTTTTAAGGAAGAATTTTTATTGAGCACATATGTCCCAGTCCTGGCCTAAGGCACTTAGAACATCAATTCTAAATATATATGATTCCAGAAACTCAGTAGTGATCTGAGATAAAAGTTAAGCAAGGAGGCCAATTTAATCAATGGGAGTCCACCCAGGTTTCTACCCCTTGAATTGTGAATCAGAAAATACAGATAGCAGAAGAGGAGACAGAGCTCTAAGCCATACCCAAGAATAGAAATGGCAGGAAGGGTGTGTACATACCTCCATAAATACCTCCAGACAAAGACACCATCCAGGCCCCTGCTACCGTGTTTCTATGAAAATAAGACCTACCCATAAAATAAGCCCTAGCAGGATTTCTAAGCATTTGCACAATATGAACCCTACCCTGAAAATAAGACCTAGTGACGGGCGTGGCTACGCAGCGCGTCTGCACAACCCATGCATTTCGTCGTGAAGCGGTAAAGAAGACGAGCAGCCCTTCTCATCTGCCCCATGAGAGCTCTGTTGCTCCACATGAGAGACTGGGGCCAATGGTTCTAAAGGAAATAGAGTCGCAAGAAATTCAGGATGGAATTCAGGGTTTGTAGAGTTATGATGATGTTCCAGAAGAAGACGACTAGACTATATTTGAATAAATGTAGATTGTTGTACTGTACTTAAAAAAATAACACATCCCCTGAAAATAAGCCCTAAGGTGTCTTCTATAAGACTCTGACTTATTTTTGGGGAAACACGGTATTAGCACCTCACGCAGACTGTGTGGACCAGGGTAGGTCACATCAGGCCTTGGAAGCTGTGTCTCATCTACACAATCACGTCGTTTCATGGGGTTGCTTGGGGAGCACTGCTTGTCATAGGCAATTCCTTTGCTTCCCTTTATATTTAGTCAAGAAACTTCCTTTCCAACGCTTGTGTTAAGTTGTAGATAATTCACTGGAGAGTGGGTTTCAACCTGCTGCCTATCAGGTGAAGCCCTGTCTGTATCGATGGCCATGCCAAATCCATCAGGAGCAGGTGACTGATGATGACGAGCCTGTTTGGCAGCGGCTTCAGATGAATCTAGAGACACCAGCCACTCTGTACAGAATCACCAATGAGGCCAATGGACTCTTAGATATAAAGAGATTAATGCACTTCAAGCTTGTATGTTTGTGTTAGAACATATGGATACTATTAGTTCAAATAATCTGTAACAGTCAGAGTCATAGCAGGGAAGAGTATCCACTGCAAGATGGTTTAAATGCTGAGACTTAATTAAGAGGCTACTAATAGAGTGTGCTCAAGATTAAGGAAAACAACAACAATGTATGCTGAGATATCTAAAGGAGCAACTATTTGACACTACAGCATACAGGGAACAAGGAAGAAGTGCCCTGACCTCCACTTTATTCTCCTGCTAGTATCTCATTTCTCTTCCACAATTAGAAGTCAGCCGGCAAAGGTCCAGGATGATGGGAACCTCAGGCAGAGCCTCACACATCACAGAATGTATCTGAAAAGGGAGAATGGAAACTCAGTAGCAAAACTCCACTGTTTGTCCACTCAGCAGTCTTTCTTGTCTTTCAGTCACATGAAGAAATTCTCATTTTGAGTATAGGGAGTTGAAAGGTATCATCAGCCACTGTGTATCATGAGGCAATGCAAGTATCATTAGACTTCCTTCTGGAAACTAAATTATGATGTTAAACTCCACTTATGCATTAATAGAATATTGACGGGGGAGCAGGAAAAAATAACTAAGGTAAAATATCCATAACTGCCATTACCATCCCCTAGAAATGATAATCAGATCATGTTTATGATAACTTCCTCCTTCTATTCCCATTAACTTCTGCCCATACTTTGACTAAATGAGGCTGTATACCAGGTGGTGGGATACAAATCTTCATTCCTGATGGATCTGAGTCCTCAGTTGTCTCATCTCCATCCAGGTACTGCCGCTTACTTTTGGATACAGGAGTACGATAGTGTGCCTGGAGTACCTGGCTTCTAGGTGTAGTCCCTTTGGCCCAAACTTGTTTAACCACTTTGGTACGAGCATCAACTATAATCGATAGGCACAGATGAACGCGCACAGAGACTTTAGCTGACAGCCGTGATATGACTTTTCTAATTTTTTATTTATCAAAATAAAATTGTGAACATTTAAAAATAACCTAATGAAAACATATATGTATATGTTACCTATTCTGATTTACATTACAAGTAAAGCTGCCTGTAAAGTCAAACAAGCTCTCAGTGCTTTCAAGCTCTCCTCATCACACGAGAGCAGAACGGACCCATCGTCAGTGCACAGCACAGACCACCGTACGGACCGTGAGTGCGGCTGTGGGCGAGGTGTCGCGCCGGTGAGCGCCGCACCAAAGTGGTTAAGCAACCTGGTTTCCTCTTGGCAAGTGAGACCAATCTTGCCCAATAGAGTTGCAGTCTTCACTGCCTGCTCATTCAGTGGCTTTTAGTGTCCAGAATAACCCAAAGAGCATCTCAGCTTTCAATTACGCGCTGGCTTTCTTAGTGGAACTGGCTTTCCCTTGGGAACTGGGACCCCCAAAGTCATCACACCCAAGGGTGAGATTGGGAGCAAAAACTCTTTAGTGTCTGGAAGGTGAAACAGTGAGGAGCACTCAGTATTAAGTCCTCCGCCAGCACCCCTGGCTGGCCCATATCCTGGAGATGAGGAAACAGCACCACATGCTGCCTGTGTGTTTAACCAAATGCTGTAGCCAGTGGGATCATATTCCAAATCTGAAGGGCGGATGATGATGGACATAGAGACACATTACCCAAATCCCCTCCAGAGACTGCCGTCGCAGTGCTAGGAGGGCTGCCAGCCGGCAGTCTGTGCTTGTCAGGCCCTTCAGGAATTGCTCAAGCTCTGGAGAGTTCCCTACCCTAAGGCATCTCTTTTCTGTGTGTATCCGATATCCAACAACTGACCGAGATGGGCTGTAAAGTTCTGGTTCTTTGGCCCAGTGCTGGACAACCCATCCCTTTTCAGCTCCAGGGTGTCCTGCAGGGTCACAGGGGCTGTCAGGTCTAAATCACAGGTCGCCTTCTTTCCCACCACTTTTGCTTCCTTCCCTCTTTTCCACAGGTGTTGATCACAAGAGCGTTCACTAAGAACCTTACCAGACATCACGTGCCCTCCTAGAGCCTGTTTCCTGGAAGGCACAATCTGTCACATGCTCTCTCTCAGACTGTGCCATGACAGAGCCACCCATAGTCCATGTCACAGATTTGTCAAGCCAGCAGCTTGTGACGGGTTTGCAAAAAGAATCTAGTGGCAAGTCTCACACCACACTCCTTTCCCTGTAAAGCAAATTCCTTAGTCAGAAGCAACATTTGTAGAATGCCATCTCGGCAACTAAAGCATTCTGAATATCTACAGAGAACAATGTTGGAAGAAACATGTGGGCAAAGAAAGAAAAAATATATTTGAAAATGGTATCTTTTCCCATGAGAAAATCACTGCCCCACGTGGGATGGAATTTGTTCAACGAACCCAATGACCCCTGGGAGGCTGGCTACCCCTGCCCATAGTGCCAGGTAGTTGTACCA